CCACAGCAACACTCCCCCTTTCCCCCTTCCTGCCTTCTCATCCATGAGGGGGTCCAGCAATTCTTGCAAAAAATTTTCTGGAGTCCTTTATCCCAAAAAAGTTTCAACAACAGCTATCATGTCGGGGGTCGAGTTTCACAAAACTTGTGGAGTCTCCACAAATAAAAGAAACCCCTAATGTTGGCCCACAGGGTGTGATAATGGCCCCATGATGAAGTGGTCAGCTTAGGGGTGGTGTGTAGGAATGAAGGTCCTGCCCTTGAGAGGGTAGGGGACTGAGCAGCTCAGGGGGTAGGTCGTGGTTTGTAAAAAAGGCGCAATCCCCCCTGCGGGCTGGGATAGAGTACTAAGTTTGACGGTAGAGTGTTCACCAATTCAAAATGTTTTTTTGTTCTGAGAACAGGGCTTAAACGGGGCCCGTCTTCAAAATTTCCTTTTCTTCCGACACTGGTCCTCCTTATGTCCCCTTTTTTGTAGCATAATTTTCACCTGGTATCTCGCGGCATTGTTGGCAGTGTCCCCTTTCCGGGGCAGTGAGAGCACAGCCTAGGGGCCCTGGGGGGGGACTAGGATTGTTGCACCCCTGAGTTTTGCGATTTGTCCTCAGATTCTGCCACTGGAACTGTGTTAGTGGGGGGTGGAAAGGCGTAGATGTTTCCTCCTCCACGTCCTCCTCCCCGTCCCTGCCCCCCCCTTTCCATTCTGACGATGTGTCCCGCTGTTTTGTACTTCGGCGCAGTAGGTGATCAGGGGCGTGATTTTCCCTGATCATTAACTGCACCTTCTCTGGGGGAGAAACTCCGTCAGAACTTTTGACGAAACCGCTCCCGATTCAAATAGTATCGGGGGGTGCTGACAGGTGTAGGTCAAGATGGAAAAAGATTCAAGTAACTGGGGGTGGCGAACAAGATGTCAGTTAGGGGAATTAACAGATCCCAAGGGTTTCCCCCCTTGGGTGGGGAAAGATTTTTTCCCTCTGTGGGGGTCAAAAATTGTGTTAGGATTCCCAAAGGGAGTGTTTTGAAATCTGTCAGTCTGTGGGGCCTTGGGGTAAAAACCACCCTTTTTTTTACCCCCCGATTTAAGCCAGGGGGGATTTTTCCCTCTTTTCAATGTGTCACCATCCGAGGGAGCTTTACGTCACTTGATCAGGTTGACTGGCCCTTTTACAAAAGCTTGTAGGGTTATTTAAAGATTTTAGGAGCTCATGAAGTGCTTTCCCCTTTATGGATTATCTTACTGCAACTTTCAACACAGCCCCAAAGGCATCCCCCTTTATCTTTGACAGGATCCCCCGAGGGGAGGACTTTTTGAACCTTTCCTTGTAGCTCCAGGCTTTTATCCACAATACCACAGGTTTGGATATCCTTAAATTTTCTGAAATTTTTTAAACCCGGCTAAAAAAAAAATTCTTTTCTGGGAAAGCAACTGGTGGCAGTAGTTTGGGAAAAAGTAGGTCCTACATTAAGAAAATTTTTTCCCCTTTTGGATACCCACAAACACTGGTAATACTGGGGCAATGCCAGATAGCGAGATATTTTGCTATTTTGCGTGTGAAGTCATCCCAAGGAGGGTTTAGGTTTGAAGTTCACAGGGGAAGAAAAGGGGGGGTGGGATGTGGGGTGGGGTGGAGTATGTGGGGGGGGGGGTTTTATAGCCTGGGTTTGTGAGGGCGGGGGGAGTGGGGCCACTACTGGGAATGTTGCCTTCTCCCTATCACTTAATAAAAAAACTGTTTTATGCTATCCACCTTTTCCACTAAAAGGGGAAAAATTACACAAATCACTGTGTTCATGACCCGCCACGTTGTTATAAAGCACCAAACATACATAGCACAAAACACAATAAAATTAGACCTCACTCTGAAGGGAAATGAATATCCTAAAGGGCCCGCCGCGTCCCCTCCTCACACCATGTTTTTTCACCCAAACCCCACTTAAAATCACTGATATTGCTTATATTCACTTCAGTGGGGGAGTGGGTTTCTTGACTAATGTTTTGTAAGTAGACGCACTGAACATTTTTTTCCCACCAACCCCGTATTTAAGAATATTAAAAAAAGTTTTTTGGGCAACTGTGAACTCTTTTACCCTCTCTCTCTCTCCTCTCTTTTTCTCTCCTTCTCTCCCCTCTCTTCTCTCTTCTCTCTCTTCTCTCTCTCTCCTTTTCCTTTTCCCCCTCTCTTCCCCTCTCTCTCTCCCCCTCCCTCTCCCTCTCTCTTTCTCTCGAGGTCTTCGCTAGTTGGAGTACTGGGTGGTAACATGCGCCTCTGGAACCCCCAAAAATAATAATTCTCGAAAATTTGGTCTTTGACGGAAAAACAAAAATGTCACCACGGGGGGTTAAGCCAATAAAATGCAAGTCTTAAACAAATTTATAGATAACATAAGACCAGTACCTGCCTGCCCCATACAAAAAAAAAAATATTTACTGAATAACAAACATACCAACATTTATATCAAATAAAATCAGGGACCAGGAATAGACGTTTCCTGCGATAATCTCAAGAAGATTTATTGTAAAGATAACAGATGATTTTGTTGTAGGGGATAACAAGCATACTCCTGCGAATTTAAGTGGCGCGTCAGTCTAATTTTTTATCGGGAGTCTTAAGTTGATTGTGGAGATACCAACCAATGACCATTCGAACCCCGGGTGCAGTAGCAAAGTCGAGTTGGGGGTGGAGCCAGCCACCACACAACCCATTTGTACTACCAGTGCACCCCAAAAAATTAGAGCACGTCTTTTGGAGGAACACTCACGTACATCCAGTGTACCCCCTC